ACCGTGACAATGTCACTAACCAGTAGGTGGCAGTAGTGTTCTTTGACAAACATGGATGCCTCCAGTAAAGCACATTCACATGGAAATTACTCTGAATTAAAAACACTGATCATTTATTGAACAGGATGGAATCATTTCACATTTAAAGAACTTTCAGAAGTTTGAATTCTCAATATGACCGGACTTTTCCTGTAATTCTGATTGGTTAGAACAGTTTTGTGTTTTCCTGTAGCTCCGTAACGAGCTGGATGTCCAGCGCAGAGCCACAGAGTTTGCTCTCCGTAAACGAATCCACCAGGAAGAGCAGGCCCAAGATGAGCTGCAGTGGCAGATTAAGAAGGTATGACATGAACGTAAGAAGCTGTGGTTTTCAGTCCGTCTCTGGATGTTTCTGATGTGCTTCTGGAATCTCTACAGACTCAGGAGGAAATGGCAGAGATGGAGAACGACATTCGTGGGCTGGATGCAGACCTGCAGGCCAAGACGGCCTCCTTGAAGCTGGCTCACACCCGGCTGGAGACCAGGACCCAAAGGTCCAGCGTGGACTTGTGCCGCGACCAGGTCTCTGTTAGCCTCATGTCTTTTAGCCACTTCCAGTCATTAAACTGAAACTTTAAACGGTTTCCCTCCTGTTTGTTTCCAGGTGCAGCACAGCCTTTTAGCTGAGGTTCAGCAGCTGGAGGCCACCATCCAGGCTCTGAAGCAGAAGCTCTCAGAAGCTCAGTGGGTCCTTCTTCTAGTAATCATACGATGTAAATGTTTCCTTTGTGAACACAACCATGTGTTAATGGCGTCGTCTGCTCCTTTCAGACATTCTCTGCAGAAGCTGAAGCTCCATCACACACGGATGCAGTTCGATCTTTCCAGGAAACAGGAAGCCCTGTCTCTGGAGAACCGCAGCATGAACACCAGAACCCGCATCACATCCTCCTCCGGTACCGAAGAGGCTGCGGTGCCGATGGTTCCGCTTATGAATTCAAGCGGCAGGAGCGACCTCGAGCTGCTGGCCAATTCCCAGCAACTCACGTACTAAGGCTGATCAAGAGCCAGTCCGACATCAGCGCTCCTGTTGCCTTGGAGACGGCTTTCTGACAATGTCTGACCTATGAAAGTTTATCGTTATTGGAGTTTGTTTTGGTTTATTTCAGCTTTATTGTTCATAATAGATAACATTTTAGGAAGTCAGTGGAGTTAATATATTTATATTATATTAATATTAAGAGCAAATAAAAGGTCTGAAAGAAATGAGGTGTGGACATCTGGTCAATGATGAACAATGAAGACGCCAACTAGAGGTGAGTCCTGATCCAACCTTCAAAGCAGACTTTGGCGTAGCTCATTGATTCTTTAGGTTTCCTGGAAAGAAAAGGAAAAGTTCGCTCATATTCAGAATTCAAACTTCTGAAAATACTTTACATATGAAATTATTACATCCTGTTCAATAAATGATAAGTTTTAATTAATAATTTTCTTTTCAATATGCTTTACTTGAGGCATCCATGTTTGTCAAAGAACACTACTGCCCCCTACCTGTCAAGTTTGGTGAAGGTTTGACAGCCCCAAATGCAGAGGCTGGTTTCTTGCAAGATGTAATTAAACAAAAAGGGTAACAGAAGCAAAAATGCATAATATAAATCTTCAAAATCCAAAAATACTTAAAAAAAAAAAAAAAACAGGAGTATTCACAAAGAAATTACGACAAACCAGCCAAGAGTGACTGAACAGGAGGAGAATATACGGAAGAGAGAACCAGAGACCAGGCTAATTAGCAGACTGGGAGCAGGTGTGAACAGAGGAGGAAAGAAGGGAGCTAGGGGAAAAAGAGACTGACACAAGAGGGAAAACCAGAAATATCTAAGAACGCAAATACATAAAAAAAAAAAAAAACTAGAACACAAAAAATGGAAATAAGACCAACGAAAACTCAGAGATAAAACTTGAACAGAACCAAAACCATGACGCAGAACTCAGCAGAACCCAGAGGTGGTTCGGTTTGTTCGTCACTCATTTCATTTCTAAAACTTTTTTGCTTCAGGGTTTCATTTGGTTCAATAGGTTTGGAGGAGCCTCCTGTAGGTTTCTGGTATAAACAATAAGCGTGTGGAGGGTTACCATGACAACCATGGCTGCTTCTAGGACAGCAGAGGATTCCTTAATGCGAAGGTGCCTCAGATCTTCTGCTGAGTTTCTGGGAGTGAAAACAGTTTTCGTTGGCTGAAGCCTTGAAGTTCTGCAGAACTCTACTTCAAATCTATGGAGCTAAATTGAAGCCATAAAGTTTGTTCTGAACAATTAATACAGTCAGTGCGACATGAAAACAAATTAGATCGGAGATAAAAAAGGTTGGACGCTGAAGATGACAGAAAAAATATGTTTCCAGCTGCTGCATTCAGGAACCGAGGGAACTAGAAACCTCTTTA